TATTAAACGTGCTTGTCTTTGCTTTTCAACTAATTGATGGCTTTGTCAATACCAAAAGCAAACAAAACACACGAGAGATGCCAATGAAGAGATTCAATTAATTTGTGGTCTCTCAGATAATTACGTTCTATCGATTGAAATTGAAGGATACTTCTATTTTGAATTTCTGGGGTGTGCGGTAGACTTACCTCCATGTGGTGCACCCTGGGCAACGTAAACTCCTGCGGCGAAAAAGGCTATAAACCGGTAGTTGACTTTTGACTTCAAACTGCCATGATCCCACTGTATGTCGACTGCTTCCACAGTACTCACCTCACCTTTTTTACTCTACCTTCGTCTTTGAAGCACTCTTCTGTCCCCCCTCTCGACTTTTTCCACTTTGATGTTCCCCTCCCTCTGTGGAGCCTGAAGTCAGCTAAAGGGCTAATGATGACTATCATAAAGCCTGCCATTTGATATAAATAAATAAATTTTGAATTTCTTTAATTGTAACAAATTTCTTCAGACAGAACCAGAAGAAGTCATTGTCGGCCTCGTCTTATTGAATCCTCAGCATGCAAAACGGTTATGGAAAAGTGCAGTAGAACACCACGCATTCTTTCGGCTGAAGGAGCCTCGGGCGGTCAAGAAAGGACCTTTGGAACTTTTTTCGGGTTCCTCGCGTTTCCAGTATTCCGGGCACACATTTTTCCAGTATCGCACAACACAAATAGACCGACCGAGTGATATGCCTGGAGATGGAATTATGTATGACGAAAACGGTCGACAGAAACATCACAGAACTGCAAGTGTACCTGCGGCTCTTAATCGAGGTTTGTCAAATTATTTAATTTCCATTGCAGAGCGAAGCTTTGTGCCTTTTCATTGTTTATGGAAAACCTTCCCAACATATGAGGAATAGAAGTTTGTAAAGAGGGAGTATATAGGCAGTAGAAGTGATAATCAGGAAGTCACGAGGAGCCTACCTTTTCTGGGTTCCAGAATCAGTTTGGAGTTCCTTCAAACCCGTCCTTTAACTTTACCATCTTGTTTTTCGCCCCCCCCCCCCCCCCCCCACCCGAATCCCGATTTACTGCTAAAATTAATCTGCCACCAGGTAGATAAATATTTGAACTTGTAATACTTCAACCCCCTGTATCTTTTCATCTGGCATTCCCAGGATCACGGGTTCAATTCTTCTCAAAATTGGCACTAACAGTACTCTTTGGTAAATTGAGGCAGCTCTTAATGTGCATAAAAATGCTGCGTAATAGTAGTTCAAAATTATAAAGGAAGATGTGACGGTGATTGGAATAATTTTAGGAATCCGCTAAATTAATCATGCTAAGGTTATAAAACAAATTAACTATTCTCGTTCTTAAACTATTTTCAGCTGGAATTCGGTATAACAGTATCCATTCATTAAACCGTACTCATCCTCGCGACATGACGATCGGAAAAGCACAAAGCAGTGATTACCTAGGTCCAACAAAACAAGTAACTTGAAATTTATTTGTCTTCACAAATGAATTACTGAGCTTTTGCAATCTTCATATTCCATTGCAGAATGCACATGAATCATTAAGAGATACACGTGATAAAAATAAGCCAATCACAACAGCCACACGACAGCCCCCATCTCGTTCACCAATGATCACAAAACAACCAAATCCTAAACCAATGAGCAGGCGGATTCAACCACAGCAAGCACGACAACCAATCAACGGGCAGAACTACTTTGAAAATGATGGGTCGCTATTTGATGGCGCGAGTTCAAGAGGGGAGGGCTCAACTATTGGGTCTGGGATTCGTGGAGCCGAATATGAGGTTAGTTTGAACGGAATTTTGATGAAACTCTCAATAATCAATTACCATGAGAAAACAATAAAATGGTGAATTTCATTAGGTAAAAATGTTTTATCTGATGAAAGATTTCCCTGGGTAAAAGTAAAGTACTGACAATCAGATTAGTCAGTAAAGTGTACCATCAAAACAACAGTTGAACGTAGTACTTTTATAATGCAACAGTTGTTACTCCAATAGAGCAGTAGCGGTTCAGACTTCCAGAAATTGACTGGGAGCTCAAACAACGGTTTTTCAAATGAGAAAATAAATTTGAAATTGGAAACGCAGTAAATGATCGTCTGCATGCTAAGCCAACTATTACAGTGATCAATTCTAATGTGGTGGCTGCGCATATCCAATAATCGATAATTGAGCGGGAGACTGTTAAGCCTTATAATTTTCGTTCAGGCACGCGGAAAAATTTGTCTGAATCCCCATTAAGTGGACTATGACCTTTTAGTTCCGATTTTGATTAAGAGTTGGCGCAATGATACTAAATCTTACTTCTACTCACACTCGTATCGATTCAGCTCTTCTGGCTCTTTTCTTTAAAATTTATTTCAAAATGCTTTTAAAACCTTAAACTAAATTAGTTCAATCAATTTTTATCCATTTTAGGTTCCTCGTCAGTTAAGTGCGAATGATTTCTACTCTTATGCCCATGAACAGGAAAGCCTCTCCATTATGAGTGGAGATGGTGTAGGTGATATAAATGACCCGGGAGTTGTAAGTGCGAGTAGCGTACCCTGGTCAACTTTAAACTCATATAATCCCCAACCGTCACAGGAATCTTGGCAACCTCAAAATCCAGCACCTTCAGTTCCCTCCGGTGCTTCGTACTTACCCCGCTATGCTAACGTTGGCGATAACTATAGTTACTCTGAAACCGCATCCGAAATTCAAAATGTGCCGACACGACCTAATCGGAAAACCGGACCTTATGTTAAACAAGTAAGTCAATACTACTTTAAGATGTCAGTAGTTGGTGTACTTTGGCTTTAATCGGAAAAAAGGAAACTGCGATTCTAACAGGAACTTATGTCCGTTTCAGATATCCATAAATAAAAAATTTACGAAAAATTGAATTGGTAATTATATGTAGACTTGTACTTTTCTTAATCAAACGTTTTGAAGGATCTCTAAGATGATAACCCTGTTCGATATTGAATCGTGTGAGTGGCCTAACTTGCAAAATTAATGTTTTTATTTTAACACAACAACAGAATAGCCTAATCTGTTTGCATTGTCAAACCTAATCAGAATGGCTATTTGCCTATTATTTATGAAATCCAAATCAAATAATTCATTTCCATTGCAGAATTATTTAAGCGATCCACCGGCAATTTCTGATGAAGATTTCCTTTGAATTCGACGCGTGTGCTGTGCTTTGTGATTTACTCACTTTGCTTAACTCTTCCTCACTTGTGATATTGCATTTGACAGACAACAAGCTGTGATTATATATGCTCTTACCTCAAACATAATTAACAATATTCTGATTAACTGCCAAAATATAATTACTTTAGTAAAGTGAAAGATTAAAAAATAAATATACTGTATCCCATGACTATCATTTTGTTGCAAAAATGGCGATTAAAGTGTTAATGGAAATAAATTGTACCATAACATATACTCAGAAGTCGTAATGGCAAGTTCCCTGGAAAACGGAGGTTGAGTGAGTCTGTTCGCAAAATGAGATTTTGAGTAAAATGATCCAGTAATGGGAGGTCTCTGCATTCGTGTTCTCATTTGCTAGCTAATACAGGTTCGAGAATATTTACACATAATGCTGCTTAGTTGGAGTCTTTAACATAATTGGTACGAAATTTGACTTAGATTTCCGCTCTGCATTTGAATATTATTTCATTATTTTGCATACTTATAGGCCGTTAACCCCACTTTATAGAGAGATTTGGAGGCGTCCAAATAGTTTAGTTCTACTTTTAGCATGAAAGTAGTACTCAAATTGCCTGTAGGAAGACCAAAGCAAAATGATAATTTAGAAATGGCAAGCAAATTGGTTTTGTAATTTATAATCATACGTAGGATCATCGGCTTCATATTTCTTAAATTAGTTCAGAAATGATTTGAAGTATCCGTTCGAAAAGGAATTTATTCACTTTAATGCCTTTTATGTCACTGAGAATAAATTTAAAATATCATGTGAATAAGAAATAATTTTGAATAATTAGTAGGAAATGAGTATTCAATGAATGCTACAATGGATCAGGGGTTTAGATTAATTGCCAAATGTATAAATTCAGCAAATTACTAAAAATATCAGATTTAATTTGAATTATGACAATTATAAGTAAAAAATTACATTCGATGAATGATTCTTACCATATAGGTCTTAAAAACATATCTTCAATGCGAAAGCAATTAAATTTAATATAATCCTAATAAAATTGAATTTAAACATCAAATGCATAATACATTACATAATATTCTCTATTATTTAAGTCTCATTTAAGATATAATGAAATTATAAACTTCCAGAGTTTATCTCGTCAAAAAAAATTACGAAATTAAAATTATTTCTTTTTAAATAAATATAAGGTGATATATTTCATAATTTCAGGGTTTCGTTTAAGGCAATGCCTCATTCGAATGAAGTTGAATATACAGCGGCGACTTTAACTGCGGGATTTATACATAAAAATGAATATTAAATGTAATGCTGATTTTCGTTAGTCTAAATTTCTTAATTAGGCATTGTTGGGCTGGCTTTCTTGTTCTCGATTGGATTTACAATGCTTGTCATCGCATGCGTAGTCACTGGAGAATAGTTCGCTTAAATATATTTTAATGAATTTTTGTAGTAATTGGAGGCCGTTCGCAGTAATTCCCTTCTATGTTGTGGCACCAATTCCGCTTCTATTGGTTTCCAATTCTGAGACTGATAGTGAAAGTGTCGGATTTAGCTTCATGATATTACTTCATACAATCCTTGTTACCTCATGTTTTGCTCTTCCGATTGTTATGGCTCATGCACCGCTCGGAACATCTCTGGTATTTGTTTCCTTTTTAGAATATCATTATTAATTCTTTAACTTTAGATCAATTGGGGTGCTTGTGGTCTGACTTTGACAGGAAATGTGATCGTTTTTGGTTCTCTTTATCTTGTTGCACGATTGAGCAGTCAAGCCTCATGAATATTATCGATTTACCCGGATGCTTGTATAGTTACACGACCTCCTCACATCTTATCATTCTTTCTCAAATTGTCCATATATTTGTTTTATTTTATTGCTTATACGACTCGTATCATTCTCAAAAATGGTCATTTCTCATCCCTACTCTTTTTCTCTGTTCATGCCTTTTTGGACGAGGTGTATCTAAATGGATGATTTTATTCAGCTCTGATTTTGATATAAAAATTTAAAACTGTTTTTCTGCTCATCTAATAGTCAGGAGTAGTTAGTGGGCGTGTTATCTACCGCCTCTCACCCAATAATTCCCCTATATTTGAGTTTATACCTGTAGAACTCTAATAATCCATTGCACAAGAAATGAAGCTTTTGGGTTTCGGTCAGGAACATCGAAATCATTCGATTTGTATATCTCTCTGTATGGGTGCCCACCAGTTTTGTAGTCATGATCCCTAACTGATTAATTAATTAAATAATAAATTTGATAGATCCTTTAATTAGTTTTATTGTTTTCTGATGCGTTTTCATTGAGGCTTGACACAAAAGTGATGTATGAAATTTCACATATTTTTTTGTTAATTGAAACTTGGTGTTTAAGTATAGATATGTTCACTTAATAACTTAATACGCACTACATTAGTTTTACTTTTAGTAGATACAACACGAATAAGGCTTGACTGACCCTCAACGATCTAATCCGGAAAAATCCCCAGGGCATAAACTTGCTCTCGAAATCGGGAGATCTTCAATAGTATTGATTTAATGGCGCTTACTTCAGAAGATCGGCCACCGATACAGAGCTTAGCAATCAAATTACAATTAGAACTACACTACGTCTCCTCTCTCTCTTATTGGTTGCTGGTTGGTTGAGAAGCTTCTGCACTCACGTCGCGTCTGCTCTCTGGGCGATCAGTGACGCAGCCACACATATTCCAGACTGTTCGAGCACCCATAAGGACTATAGGAGCCATAGCGTTTAGAGCTAAAGCTTAGGTAACCCCAAAAATTTGACGAATGTTCGTAATGCTTAGTACATTATGTCAAATTGAATTATCGCTGTATATACAGTTGGCTAACTGTAGGGTATACAGAGACGGTAGCTCCACAGCTCAACTTAACTTCCCTTGTCAAGAAATTCACGGGTGCTTCTATCGTGAACAGTAGTCTCTTCTCAGTAATTGATAATCCATCGAATTCTGGTCATCTTGATAAACAATAACGCAGGTCGATTTCCCAATCATTCATCAGACTTTGGGTAGCAGCTAACGTGAAGTCATGAACTCGGTTCTCATTGGTGCATACGATAGCGGATTGACACATTAATAAGCCTTCATTTGTGCTCAACAAACTCTATGGCAAGTTCTGGGGTTACTAAGATTAGCTCAGCTACTATAAAGCCCTAGAGGAAACAGACGTTTGAGGTGGAATACGTTTATTGGGCTGTGTGTCACTGATACGGAGTTTGTTCATCAATATAAAATGAAGGGTATATTGAATAATGCAGGGACTCTATTGATTGGTGGCTGACTGAGAGGTCTCATTTGTCCCCCCCCCCGTGAAAAGTTGTACGTCCGCACCTTTGAGTCTGTCGGAGTGCGTATGAGATCTCTTTGTTTAGCCCTGATAGCGTTGCGCCCTCCACAGTACCCAGTGAGTGAAATGGGGTAAAAATATAATTTGATCTTCTTAAATAAATAAGTTCTAGAAGGGAGTTTCTAATAACTTGAAATGTACACCATGGTAAGGATTACGGGGTTTCACTTAGAAATAACAATATGCAAAATTAAATCTGGAGAATCGAAAGTATTGATTAAAATCGAGCTTGCAGTTCCTATCTCTCACAAAACACTTGAGCTGAGAGACCCGGAAATACTAACAAGTACTTATATCCTCTGTGATGCACCGGAACAACCTGTTGTGGAAAATTAGCGCATACTTTCAGGTCCCTGCGTACCCAATCCTCCCCCCCCCCATACGTCAGCCGTCATTCCGATTCCACCAGACTGCTAGGTGCTTACGCAGCATAGTGATAACCGTTTTAAGCGATTTCGTATTTCGTCAATACAAACAGTTTGTCACTAACTCCATGGACCCTTTTGCTACCATAAAAACTATATTGCTATTAAGGCGACCAATGTAAGTAATAGTAAACGCAGTTTTTAAAAGCACTAGTCGTCAAGGTACTGGCAGCTTTGACCTAGCTAAGTCGCCTGTCTCAATATGCCGTCCATCCTATCAACCAGCTACTAGTCGATGCAAACCCCACATTTCATGATAGAAAAACTGGGTGTGCGATAGACATACCTCCACGTGGTGCACTCTGGGCAACGTATACTCATACGGCAAACAAGTCTATTAATCGGCAGTTGACTTCTGACTTCAAACTATCAAGACCCCACCGCATTTCATATTCTACTAATTCCACAGAACTCACCTTTTTTATACCTTTGTGTCTGTCTGTCTCTTTTACGTCTGTGAATCATTATTCTGTCCCCCCTCTCGACTTTTTGACACTTTGGTGTTCCTCTTCCTTTCTGTGAAGCACGAAGTCAACTAAAGGGCTAATGATACCTATCATAACGCCTGCCATCTTGAAATAAATAAATAAATGATAGAAAAACTTAGATACACCCAATACCG